AGAAGCCCACGCACTGCTCAAAATATTATGTTTTGCAGTTTACTTTTGCTGACAGAGTGAAAAGAAAACAACAGACCAAAAAGAATAGCTATTACCTGCCCGCAAGATCAACCAAGGCAAGATTTCCAGGAAAGAACTTGACTACCATATCGTCCTTTCTCCTTGCGTTTTGCAGTAAAAAAGAGAGGAACAAACAGTATTTTTCATGTGAGAATAATTTACAAAAATGAGGGGAGCTATGAATTGATAGTATCTGTAATTGTTTTTGTAGACTCACAATCTCAACATGTTAGACTGATATTCTATCAAATCAAACCATATTTGAATTTGGAGATATAAAAAAGAAGAAGACTCAGTTCGGTCATCCACGTGAACGCCCCTGTGAGAAAGGGCTCTCATTCTTTCTCCAGGCAGTAAAACAAACTCAAAGTATACTATTTTCCAAACAAAAAGTTGGAAAGTACAGTAAGCAAATAAAGAAACATATGGAAGAAAGTGCTTTGCAAACAGAACTTCATTATCCTGACATCATTCTCAAGAAATAGTAATGCTCATTTTATGCAGTGTAAATTAGTACATAATTTTTTTTCTTTGGAACAGATTTTTAGTTGAATATATCATTATTGCTTTTTCAAAATCGAATGAATAACTAACCTGAAACTCGACTGATTAAACTACTCGGGCATATGCTATCGCCAAATTGTGCATAAAGGGGCTTGTATAAATATTCAAAGCACATGATGGATTCAGAGTACAAAGCACGTATATAGACCATTAGTACAAGAAGAGTGTAACTAAAGAAGTTTGATAATAATAATAAATAAAATAACACAGGTCTAGGCCATCGTACCATCATAAAAACATCACTTTCACTCTCTCTGCCACGAGGCGCCCGAGATGACTGTGCTGCTACATATTGTATACGAATATACCTTCATCGTTGGTGTATATTGGATCGCCGCTCCTTGCCCCTGTCATGATGTTACTATATATATCAGATGCTTAGTTCTTACTGGAGCCCTAGCATGAGCGAAAGAGCATTAGTATTCTTAGTTATACTCATACAACATGATATTTTTAACTGAACTAAGCATCCAACAGTGTATGAGCAACTAACCATGGAGTCAATCAAAACTACATCGGGACGGAAACTACACATGTACCCCAAAAATCCAACTATCCATGTGAAATCGGAGAGAGGAAATTGTAACCACATGCATATAATTGAGCATGGAAAAAATATATTAGCACATGCCTTTCTTCTCATACAAACTGCATCTATATTGAAAATGTGAGAACATGCCTTTTTTCAAAAAAAAGCAAGTTTCAGCATGGGCTCCATTAATATGGACATCCACTTAAACAAAGCTAACCGGTATATTAGAATCTGAGAATAGCCATGCACCATCCCATCGCAACATAAGTAATATATGCTTTTGATGGCCATGACATGTGGCATGCACCTTTTGACAAACAAAATGACAGAAAAATATGTTGGATCTACTGTTAACTCGATTCGGTTTTGAAGGCAATGCTGGTTCATGCAAGAAGGACAAGCTGCAAGACTCTAGGCATGAACGAAAAATTGGCTAGTCACGTAAGAAGAAATACAAGGGAAAATTTTCTGTCCCAACTCCTATTTGTGATCACCTCACTATGGATGGATTCTTTTTCTGGACAGTGAGCACAACAGCAACACACATTCTTTTTGGGCTTTATCAGTTCATAAGAAGACAAAAGATTTTTGATAAAGGCAATGATGCTCGACGAACATTCACTTGGAATAATGAACTAATACATGTTAGTAATTTTCTTTATATTGACACCTGGTTAGTATCCTGGTTCGTTAAACTGGCATTTGCTGGACTGAAAGGAAACCACATCATCTTTGTTTTTTTTTAGGGAGGGTCTTGTTTACTCTCTAAGCACCCTAAAAAAATAAATGGCACAGGTATATAATAGTTTCTTTGATGTGTTAATTTTGAAACAATCAAAACTCAAAAGCTTCATTAAACTTGTTTTAGCCTAGTTAACATTAACTCGCTAGGTTTGGATCACTGATCTTTTTCCTCTGAATGTTCCCATGATCTTCCCATGATCTGTTTTAGCGTTTGTTTCTTTTTGTAAAGAACAATGAATGTATACATGCTAGTAATTAACCTGTAAAATCGTGTACTACATCGGCAATAATCTAATGATCCAACAGCAACCGAATACCAAGTTTTCTCATAAATAAAAATAGCTCTTACATAATACCTTCAAAGCACAATCCTGATGTAACTACATGCTAGTAATTAACCTGTAAAATCGTGTACTACATCGGCAATAATCTAATGATCCAACAGCAACCGAAATACCAAGTTTTCTCATAAATAAAAATAGCTCTTGCATAATACCTTCAAAGCATAATCCTGGTGCAACTCACAAACCAATCAAGCCCATAACATTGGCAACCCCTCATGTCCGGTGAATGTACCCATTCAATATTCCAATTATCAATCCCCATCCTGCAAGAAACAACAATAATATCACTCCACAACTTGCTTGGATTTTCATTGGACCCTTCACAATTCCGAATTCAGAAATGATGTGACTGGCATTTCCAAACAACAAACCTGGTAGGAATGCATACCTACAATTTGCAAAGAGCAACAACAATTCAGAATCAAGGCCAAGAGAATCAACAACATATAGAAAGAAAGAACCATTTAAGCTCTACAATCTTGACTACAATGTGATCAATTGTTTGATCAATTACACCTACAACCTATAGGATGAATGGCTTATCCTCAACCTTTGTAGTTCTAAGCCAATCCAACTGAATAGTCATTACAGCACATGGAAATCTGAACTGAATTACGAAAGCATTCTGGGCCTACTCCAAACCTCATGGACATAAATACTGATAATGACCAAGACAACACACAGTCGACTAATTTTAAGCAGCAAACAACATAGGGTGGAATCAGAGTTCAACCTCTTCTTGTCCGATCTTCCCATAAACATTATTCTGCATTGCTGAAATCAAAACAAACTACATCAATATATGAAGTAAATCTCAAGAAAATGAATGATCGAATAAAATTTCCTCTGTAAAGTAGTGCAGTAGCAGGATAGTAGATAAATGCTACCAGTAACAACAGAAAAGTGAAGACGAATGTAACCGTATAATTTAGAACATGTCCATATGATGCCCATCAAATTAACCTACTGCTGTTATCTATCACGTATAGTAGATCTACCACAACACATAGAAAAGCTGAATAAAGTTATGCTCATAATCGTGGTGGGGTTATTAATTAGGAGACTACTAATCTGCTGGAGAGAACAATGCACATCGATGATTGTACAGAATTTCAGAGTTGCAGAATGAAGCCCACTTAGCATGTGTTTGCTTCTAATACACCATGGCTTACAAAACTAACACAAAGACCTCGTACTGCCCCGTGA